TACAAATTTGCCGTCCCCGGAGAGATGGAAGGCTTGGTGGCCCATGGGCGCGGGGATCGATTCCACGTGTGTCGCAGTGGCGCCTCCAACCACTACGCCGTACGGCAGCATGAAAAAGCATAAATTTTTAAGGCTGACTTTCTTATTAACCTTGGAATTATTTAATAATACCTTTGAGCACCTGATGAGCACAGACGAGCTTGTCACTACATTATTTGTTCATCAACAACGACTGACGTTTCGGTGGATTTCGCCTTCTTCAGAGCCTTGAAAAATCAACTTACCTGCAATATATTCAGGCAATCAGCTCCCTAACCTCAACAGAAAAAACTATGATGCCTAATTTTCAATTGCTTTAGACATGAAACGGATTTGTCGCACGCAGTTTTCTCTCTATGAGTCTTCCACGTAGTATTAAACGTGGAGACAAAGTGTATTGAGCTCGCGTGGAAGGGTATTGAACCAATCTGACGTTAAAATATTAGCATGAGATAATGTGTTAGACTAGGTGTGATAACGAGACATTCTCCTATGCTGTTCATTTGTGAATTTTTGGTATTTACCAGAGTGTTTATGTTTTATCTACTGCCTATTTTTCACACCAGGGTATTCAGTGAAATGCAACCACAATGGTGCTGAGATGTGAGCAAAACTAGGTTCCCTAGATGAGATTCGAACCAGTGGTAACTTTTCCGGGGTCTCATGCGCTACCCGCTGTACCACCGAAGCTCTTGCTTTGCCTTTATCTCAACCAGTTTTTTATCCTAACGGTGCTATCACCACCCACATCATTCCTGCTGACGGGTCATTGCTGATAGCACCGTTAGGGCAAAATACTTGCTCAGAGAACAACAACGCAAGGACTTGGGTTAGTGCAGTGAGCCTCTGCTGCGGGTAAACGTGGGATGAAGCTTAACTGAGCTTCCGAGTTTTCCTCATATCTTAGCATCATTGTCATTTCCCAAAGCGCATCAAGAGTTTTATGTGTTGAAGTTTTAGAATTCTGTGCAAGCATTATGCCACTCCTAGTGTAGTATTTTGGCTGCCTTTCCATTTACCTCTTAGGTGTTCTTTCATAGGTACGCAGAGTGGATCTACTCGTTTCACCAATGTATTCGTCTCCGAACGCCTTACAAGAGATCAGATAGACCGTACCCCGAGCTCATGCAATCACACTCTCTACCGTTAAGGCAAATTATGCAATTTTGGGGTGCACGTAGACGGTCAGATAGGTGGTTACGAACAAGCTGGCGTCTTAGATTACTCGGTGGCATTTCAACTACGTTTACCGAATTCTCTAGACCCACCCTTCTAAACAGCGTTTTATAGCTGCACTTACATCATTTGAGATGAAGGGTAGGATAAACGGGACCTTTTTATCGCTAGTGGGGACCTAGGATTTCCACTACACCTATCCTTAGCTATAGCTTCGTAGCCATTAGAAATGGCTATTTGCCGCGCCCATGTATATCATGCAATTTGAAGTTGTACATGAACGGTCATACAGGTGGTTACGAACTAGCTGGCACCTTAGATTGTTCACCGGTAATCCAATCCCTGCTACTGATCTCTCTGGAACGTCCCTTTTAAAGCAACGTTCTATAACTATGATTCCCTCGTTGTAAATAAAGGATGGAAAAAAACCTTATTTTCACTAAACTTATCGTTTTGTAGTTTAGTCTTCCGTCTAAACCTATGCCAAGGAGCTATCTTTTTTTAGCTATTGAAATTGCCTAGTTTTGACGCCAGTTTTAGGGATTTTTCCCTCTCCTCTCTTTCTGTGCGCACAGAGGTGGATGTTCGGAACATTTTTCTCACATGCGCCCTTTCTTGTGAGAGGAGTAAGAGGAGAGACAATGAACTAGTATGTGCTTTTATTACTTGGCTTTTGGTATCGTTTAGTGATGTATGCTTTCTTGATAGGTCACTTTGAACGAGAAAGTAGAGAAATGAAAACCAGTTTTTTTTCGGTTTCGGATAGATGTTGTGTAGTCTGACTGTTCACTGAATAACTCGAAACATTTGTCTATCTCCTTTGTGTTATGCTGTCGACAAAACAGTGATCTATATATGTGCAGTAGAGTAATGGTCTAAGATCGATTACAGGCGCTTTCACCTTAGAAATAAAGTCAATAGCAAGGTGAGGTGCCAGTCGTTGTTCCAGTGCTAAAGCTGTTATTTGTGCGAAATACTTCCTGGACCATTTAAGGGTGGACAGGTTCAAGCGTTCCTTTAGGAGGGCCATGAATTGCTGAATCGAGAAGCCATACATGTTTGTTGCTCCTTCGTGTTGCATACGACGTTCGAGTAGGGTTTGGATAGCGGAATCATTCGACACGTTTGTGTAATGTGCGTTAACGTCGAAGAACTCCATCACGTACGCGCTGTCAGTAGACCCGTTATCCAAACGATCCAGCAGCAATGTCATTTACAAGGCCATCCGGACCGTAAAGTCGTTCTCGTGTATTAAAATGTTAGACCTTTGTTCTAGACGGTTTAGCGATTAGAATACTTAAGATAGTTTGAACAATATGCATTTTCCTGAGCGAACTCTATTTCTGACCGTTTGTTCTGCTGAATGGTGATGTCGACGAGTTGGCGTCACCATGTTCGAAGTGGGCTATGATCACGGACAACGATTGAGTGAGAGAGAAGCGAATAAGGATTATGCTGGCGTCCTCACTACCAGTGAAAACGAGCCATGTGAGTATCCCATGTCCTGCTGAATACAATTTCCGATATAATTTTCATATTTTATCGGTAACTGTCCCATTGGAAATTTTCCTCCACCTGTAATCTATGGAGACTGTTCCTTAGCTCATGAAGGACAACTGTATCCTCCCAGACTTCCAATACCACACGTTTCCCATGTTATTTGTAGCTGTTCCAGGCAAACGATTATCGTAAAATGTGCTGTGTAATCACATCGGTTGCAGCCCTTGCCACAAATCCATTCCTATACATATCAGCTCTCCATCTTCGTCCTTTTTTGTTTCATGAATTACTACTCAGTTGTTAAACCGTCCATTTACATGAGGACTATTAACCTCGGTCGTGTGATCTGCACACTCCATTCTACTCACTGATGCACTAATGACATTCTTGGTTCTTGTGGAAAATTACCCCAGCCTAAAGTTCCAATTATGAAGCCAATAAACGTTCCACGCAAGATGTTAGGAGAAAATAAGCATCTGCTACACTTCAAAATAGTAAATAAAGTAAACAGATAACCTCAAAAAAAGCCATGTTCTTGCTTCATTTGCCATTTTCACTGCGGCACCCGGCATCGCATGTGTCACACTGTGCGTATTCCAACAGCTCTTGAATTCGATTCATATCCTCGCATCCACCATCCGTGAACTTTTTGCCTGTCGTTTCCACTGTTCCTTCAAAAATTTTTTTTCGTCTTCGTCGGCAATGTGGTTGAATGCTGCTCAGGTCGATTCTTCCTCGAATTCTGAGGTAGCCGTGCTAGGACGTTCCAATGTGGGTTAGCAGGAGAAGCGTAGTGGCTGCGACTATTTTGCGGCTCAACCTACCCATGCTTTCTTGGGCCACGAACTTGTTCGTCTTGCACTGATTAGGGAATTCACATTCTCACAAGTAACGTGTGAAGATACTTGTCCCTATACTGATGGCGATTAAGGGAAGGAACTTCAGATGTTCTTTGAACATAAGCTTTCTAGAATTAACACATGAAAATACGTCGTATTTCTCATCGATGATGTCAACTTCCGACCTCTTCCCAAGACCCTGCTAGTTATATGGATAAATAAAAGTCTATGTCGGTTTTGCGATTTTCTTTCTTAAATCCTACAATTTACGTAACCTCGTGGATAACCGGTTGGAGATCCCTCACAGCGGGAGATTTGTGGATATCAGCATATATGGTTACCTATGTTGTAAAACTACCATATTAACTTGAACATTTCTCCATATTTTGCGAGTTTTTACCTTCTTTTAAGCAGATAGCATCCAGATCCACCACTTAGCTTGAATATTATGGACATAATCTCTAAAATGTATGACATTCGTACGTGGTTTTCAAAAAGATGGTGCTCTATTACCTTTTGATGACCAGCCTGTTCCCACCTGGTGCTCTCGAGAAAATAAGAATGCTTTAGAAAATGTGGTTCTAGCAAGGATGAAAGCATTAGACTGTGTGCAAAATTACTTCGCTTCTTTTGACCTTAAGCTTCAAGAACATCCCTCGGTTTTAGTTCTATTAATCGGAATAAAAACCACTACAATACAAAGCACAAAGATGTGGAGCTAAGCTTGCACTCTGTAGCGCCACATAAAACTGCAACCAACACTACACGGGAGCCTTTGAGAATCATGGAAGCTTTTCCCCACACAAGTTTAGTACCGATATGCACGCCATAGATGAACGGGAAGAGCCGGTGTGGCTCTAACTGCTCCTAAAAACTATTATGGTTTTGGAAAAATTTATTTAAAGACAAAACATCACTGTTCGAAGAGATAAAACTGAAGTTATTTTTCAGACAACAGGATATGACACAGTTGCTAACAAAAACGGTAATCGGAAGTACGAACAAACATGGCAACCGAAACCCATTCAAGTTAACGAACTACTTCGTAGTATTCAAGAATACAGTGTTAATGAAAAGTTATGTCCCACTTAAGTAGTGGATCTTCTTAAATCTACCAGGAATTTGACCTATTCCTTAGAATAGGTTGTCAGCTATCATCACAGAAAAAATCTTTCACAATATCAGCGTTCCTCAACTGCTCGTCCAATAGCCGTTTATACTTAAAAACAAAGAATGAGAATCAAAATTCGAACAAATGAGAATGTTGTTGATGAAGCGTAAAACAACCAACAAGAAAAGCTACTCTCCCAGTAAATTCGCAGTATTTTCGTAATGTCTCCTACTTTGTAAAGAAATAAAGTCGCATACTGAATATGGTATGACACAGACTGTAGAACTTAGCAGTTAAACGAGGATTGTAAGAAGTTGAGCGCCACTCTTCTTCTTCTAATTCCTCTTTAAAAAAAAAGGAATCTCACCTATTAGATGTCGATACTCCACCCTAAACTCTTAAGCACCTCAAAAGCTAAAAAAGCTTTTGGTGTTGATCAATCCCTTAGGAATACGAAATAAATTCGACTTCATCGAGCATCGTTGGAGGTGATGCAATGCACGTCTAGCCTTTACGATCCACGATGGCCTGCCGATGTAATGATCCAGTGCTGCTCTCCTTCCAGACAAGTCTGGTACCAATTTGCTGACCCCGGAAGGATGGAAGGCTTGGTAGACCATGAGTGCGTGGATCGATCCCATTTGTGTATCGTAGGACGCCCCCGATCACTGCGCCACACATGTCGTTGAGCACCCTCAAAGGTGTTCAAAGTTCTTGGACTTACTGGTAACAGCTGTACATCGTTATCCTTACGGAACCTCTGATTTTCCTAGACTATCACTTAAGAATTAGCGCATGTGGCGCAGTGGTCGGAGGCGCCCTGCAACACACACCTGGAATCGACCCTCACGCCCATAGCCCATCAAGCTTTCCATCCCTCCGGGGTGGGCCGGCAAATTGGTACTAGACTTGTCTAGGAGGATAGCACCACTGGCTGGATACATCGGTAATCCCCCGCGAGTCATTGTAAAGGCCAGATTATGCATTCATTCACCTCCAAACGATGCTTAATGAAGTCGAATGCATGGCACATCCCTCAGGGATTGATCAACGCTGAGAACTTCTTTAGCTGTTACCGTTTAAAAAATAGAAAAAACGTACAACCGCAGTTTACAAATTGTAACTGCACTCCCTTATTCCTCTCGATATTTTGAGGAGGAACCCTAACAAATCATCAAGTTGCCTTACCTTTTTGTCCTTCTCTATCAAGGTTGGTATGCAAGTGAGTTTGAACACAGGATCTGTCCGAAAAGGGCATGCAGGATCTTTCCAACTGAAGCAAAGTCCATTTTACGATTAATGGGAGAGAGCGATGGATATGGAATGACGTGAGAAATAGTTCGGAATTCCGGTACCAACATGCAAAGCCACTTACTAGTCTCTTGCCCCAACGAAGCACGTGATAAAAGTAGCGTTCAGTGAACTTACAGCCTGGTTCTTAACCACTGAGTCTACTATCGGTTCAGCTGCAAAACACCTTCATTAATCTACAGAAATGTTACCGAAAAGAAAAATGACATGAAAGAAAGCAAAGTGGCATAGTGCCAACTACAATTTTTCACGTGAGGGTATTATGCGAAATACAAGCACAACGATGCTGAGATGTTTGCAAAACTCCGAACCACAGGTGTCCGCGGTGGCGAACGAACGCGCTACTACTTTCGGGAGGCTAACGCGTTCATCACCACACCATTCGGGTTCTTCGCTCTGCCTTTCTCTCAGCTAGTTTTCTACCGATCAGGGCCACCAGCAATCACCCGTCAACCAGATTGATCTGGGGAACTTAACCGAGTTCAATGCCGATGCGAACTCCTCGGATCAACCCCGTTAACGGGTGATTCCTGATGGCACTGATCGATAGAACTATCTGAGAGACAGGCGGAAAGAAGCACCCGCATTGTGGGGTGGTGAACGCGTTAGTCTTCGGAAAGGGTAATAGTGCGTTCGTTACCCACTGCATACACCTGCGGTCCGGAGTTTTGCAAATATCTCAGCATCGTTGTGGTTGTACTACTACGCAATCAGCCAACACTACTTACCTGTATCACGAGCATACTCTGAATTCATCTAAAATATCAAAAACGGAGAAAACAACGATAAGTTCTACATAAATCTGAATAGTAGCATTACCCATGACGCAGTCTGGGCACCAGCTCTTTCCATCCATTTTTGATCCCATGAACAAAACGAACACCCTGCCTTCTGCCGTTGACATCGCTTTCCTCACCTCATCATAACCATTTGCAGTCACTTCATGCATTTCCTAAACGACACGCTAATCCTTATATGGGAGCCAAAAGGTAAAATGAGAGCATGAAAGTCTCCAAATGGAGAAAGAGAGAAAGTGAATAAAAAACGATCATAAGAACGCGGTATACTTGTAGAGAAATCGATCTGGCAATCTCTGAATAATTCTGTACTGCAGAAATCCTGGAAAATAGAAAGCCGATTCTAGGAACTGTTCTGTACTGTATTTACTGTAGTCGAAAATACTCGTCATAGAATTTCAGTAGTGTGTACTACGGACAATGTGCTCTAGAAGACGACCACCTGACGTCGTACCAGCATATTCAGCTCGTATCCGATTTTTGCCCTGTATCTCGCCCTGCATGCCCTGTATTTTTGAGGACGTATCGCACTATTGATATCAAATTCTTATTCAGCTTTTTATAATTGGGCTACTTTTTGGACATTTCGTATGGGAAACACAAACGGAAGACCCCTGAAGTATTCCTTGTGTTGTATTCTACATATCTGCTGGTAAGGAATCAATGCGTACAACTGGTATGCTTCGCTGATGTGCGGGCATTCCTGCTAGCTATTTAGTCATCCAGTGGTCCAATGTGGTCCGTATCTTGAAATGCCCTCAAGCAGTGATCACGGCGGACACAGAAGCAGCGTGCAAGTGAGTGCGAAGGTGCATCGCCCTGTAGTGTTGAGTGGTTAAGCAAGACCTCGGTTCTAGGGTTGACAAGCGAATCACACTGGCTTTCTTTCGTAGTAGGCTTTTATGGATTGAAAGAGCCTTAGTGGAATAAATTTTAAGAAAAGTGAAGGCGCTGGGTTAACCTCAAATTTAATACCTTGTGCTAATCCATTGATTGGTGTTCCAGATTGATTCATACCTTGTACATATCCATAATCACATGCATTCATACACGCACGCCTTTGTTTCTCCCTACGGATTGTGTTCTGAACGTCGATTCGTTCAAAAACCAAGGACGAGGTGGCTGGTAAGCGGAGACGTTATGAAATTTTCTACGGAAAATATACCCCAGGTCTACTCTTGCAGAGCTCGGCAACCTCTTCGTGAATGCTATATTGAGGAAAACGGTAGAAGTAAAGGTTTACATACCAAAGAGTGACGATGTTCATCTGCTGTTCTTGTTCATCGACAGAATGTAACCTACGGGCGGTATTAGCGCTCAACATGGGTAAATGGACTGTTCTGGTTACCACTCACTCGATGGTTACAGTCATTATAGGCGGTACGGAAAACTAGTTACTTCTTACGACTCATACGTATATTAAAAGTATAAAGGGATAAAGCATTCGGCGTTGATCAATCCCTAAGGGATATGTTGTACATTCACCTTCATCAAGCATCGCTAGACAAAAATTCAATGCACATCTGGCCTATACAATGACTTGTGCCCTGCTAATATATCAGGTCAGTGTTACTATCCTCCCAAACAAGTCTGGTACTAATTTCCAGGGCTTAGTGAACCTGGAGTGCGGGGTCGAACCAGCGACTTCGTGTGTATCACAGGTCATCTATAACCATTGCGCTACGTGCCTCCCTTAGAACTATATTAGCGCATTGTAAATGTTTACTGGTATTTCATGTTTCCATTTTTGAACATTTTTGTTGTTCTTGATCGTCCTCAGTGTACTTTGATTATGCTCCTGAAGGCGTGGGCTTTTTACAACACATTCAACTTCGTAGTATTGCGTCATGATATCGAGAGAGAGAGAGTTCCGCTTGTCGAAATGTACAGTAGATGAGTAATTCCAGAATTCCACAGAGAACTGTATTGGTTAGTTATTTGAGTAATGCTTCCCTTTTGATCTGCCGCTGCTGACTTTTGTTGGTACTGCAGTATTAACCTGAAACGTAATTAATCCTTTAGAAATATATATTTATTTGGATATTTGAATGGCCCGTTTTCACTGGTTGTGCAGGCCCCAGCATAATTTCCATGCTGCGGAGATTTGCTGGTTAAGTCATTGTGCTTCCCTGAAGTCCCGAGGACACCCTGGCCAAAGTTTGCCCCAGGTTTTCATCACCTCGGGCAGTCGCAGCCCCTGTGGATCAGGAGATTTGTCAGCGTGCCACTAGTTTGATACCAGGGCGGTGGTGGATCCTAGTATTGCTTTACTCCTAGCTAGGCTTCCTGATAAAACCGCCGGACTCCTTCTCGGAAGGAAGAAAGCCTTCATAAGCCCGAGGCGGGGTCGAATCGGCAATATGAATCAATTTGCAATATCGATATACAGGAACAATGTAAAGAATACCATAAGACAAGATAGTTTCTGTGACGAATGAACTGAGATAAGGAACAACTAATAGCGTGTAATCCATGCTCAGCTAAGACGAGTCGAGGCTAAGTGGAGCATAGCATGAGATATGAACAAATAGGTACATAACTGATTAGCAATCCTTATGAATCGCTTTGTATTGGGTGGGGCATCTGTATGTGATGGCGGGACGGACGGTCTTGTAATGTTACGTGGTCGATGTAGCAAGTAATAACGGGTTGCACATGGCGGATAGAAACTGCCAAAGGCGCAGAATGCCTGAAGGCCTTTCAACACTCGATGAGAATCGTCACAATGCACAATCGAGCTGGGATATGCTATGCACTTTCGTATTATATTGTAGATGGCGTTGACATAGCGAACAGTACGCGAATAACGTAAGAAACGTAGGATGGAGAATATTCTGTGCGAGTTAGAGAGTAATCTAAAAAGCTGCTTTTATACATTTCCTAGGGAGTAAACCTATGGCGATGAGATTTGTGGTGTGTCCATAGAAAAATTGTGTAAACGTGGCAGAACAATGCTTCTAGTCAGCTAGTCTTTTGTGTAATAGCTATTCACTTAACTGAGTACATAATTAAATTCTCAATACATTCAATTCTATAGATTAGCTCGCCATATCTTATTCAGTAATCTAATCCTGTTAGAGGTATGGATTCATGTGCTCCATTAGGAATGTATGGGGAAGCAGTTACCAGCAGAAAACTGCGCGCAGAGTTGACCAGATCCCGGGGATGTGTATCCCTCATTCGCGATCGTGCTGTTTTTCAATAATTGACCTCTCAGTCTCAATATCTCAGTCAGTGAAACAATGCAATACTTGTGCAGTTTTTCGCTGCATTAATTACAAAGGTCGATATTTGCAGGAATAGTGGCCACTACGAACTTTAAAGCAATGTGTTTCAATCACCGTGGCCATTATTAATTAGCAAAGGAACAATTATGAGGGGTAGGCATCAACGCCTACAAGGTACCAAAAGACAAGGACAGAATTCTGGTTTTGTCGACTCCTTGACACCCATTCTTTTGTTGTTTTTTTTTTCGCTTCAAGACTCGTTTGTCGAACATGGCAAGGACTGAACAATTTGAATTTCATCCAGCAGAACGCGGTGCTGTTCCTCACTGTATCACTGGTTTTCACGGCCAACGTTCTTGCACTAGAATGCTCAAATTTCACCTTCTCCTCGTTTTTTTTCTGAAAGGTTCTGAAAGTTTCAATCCCAGATAAATTTAAAGTTAAAATAATGTTGTATAAAAGTTACGTATATGGTAGACTAAACTCTCTTTTATAAATCTATAGAGCTGTCATCTTCTAGACTACTTTATTAATCGAGGAATTATTTATCCGCCATGGTGGCAGATGGGTTAAAAATCGATCTACTGTACTCGTATTTCTTGTCATTCATTTGCCGTAAAACAGTATCTTTATCATCTTATAGTTGCCAAGAATCATGGATGAACGAAGTAATGATCTGTCCAGCTCTTTAAATGAATGTAGCCAGCCGCGTTGTCGGTATCGACTACACAGTTGTTCACCACAGGAGGATTGTCGTCAAAAAGAAGGGAAATTCAAGAATATCCTTCTGTACGATGTCTACTTTTCTGCTTATCGCCCATTCAAAATCTCTGGATTATCACATACTTTTGAAGTAAAATGACTTGACGAAAACATTCTTTCTAATTGTGTTTAGAAATTTATTTTACCATTCCAACGGTTTACCGCCTCATCGTGGCTGGGAGATATTCCTGGGTGTCGGACTGCGATGTACAGCGGAGGGATTCGTCCCTCCGGCAGTCTTACAAGCTGATGAGTCCGTCGTTTCCATTAGGAAATCTGGCTAAGAGCAAGCCAATACCAGGGTCCACCACCGTCCTGGTATCAAAGTCGCATGGTAGGAAATCTCCACCTGATCCACAAGGGCTGCATCTGCTTGTGGTGGTGAAGACTTGGGGCAGACTTTGGCTAGACTGACCTCGGGATTCCAGGAGCCACAATGCCTTATCCAGCAAATCTTCGGAAAATAGTGATTATGTTGGGGTCTGCGCAACCAGTGAGGATGGGCCGTTCAAATATCAAGTATTAAGTAAGTAATTTTACTCCGGTCACTACTCACGTAAATGCCTTGGTAAGAACAAATAAAAGCCGTGTTGCTGATGTGGTTTATTCAATTACGTTAATTTCAACGTCACAGTGAAAAAACTAATTATGCTATAAGTTAGCTGGGAGTTCACATAAGCTTGGAGAACTCTGGTTTTCCTTTCGCATATTCTACGAGTGCTTTCTTAGCTGATGGGCCGATACCAACTCGAACTGCAGTGCGCGAGAGCCAGTGCGTGCTTAAATATAATAATAAGTGAAGAAAAAACAATGAAGATGGGCTGAAGAAAGTCACAGTACCTTGAAGTGAGATTATCACATTGTTGTTTTACTTGTTTCACTTGGAAAATAGTGAACGCTATTACAAACATAGTACCGAAGTTGATGATGAAAGGCAAAGATGACGCCAGAACAAGCCACAGTGAAAGTCCTTCGTATACCTAGCATCAAATAAGGCTCTAGATCTCAGAACAGTAGTGCTTTTCTTTTGTTTTGATAGTCTCATAGTAGCATTGCTGGTTCTCGAAGCTACCTGCACTACAAGTCTTTGCACACCGGTAAACACACACGCGGGAGGAGGACGAAGTTATTTTCCTATACGGAGGCTTGTTGTTTCGCACTTTGCAGTTAATCTGTGGGTTACCCGACAGAGCTGCTATGTCTAGTGCTGTCTTTGCTAAGCTACTATACATAATTAATATTTACCATAAAGCCCGTTTGTGGACAAGTTTATTACGCCGATAGAGGCTTTGTATTTAGAAACTCAGGTTCGATAAGGATACCTTGCCGCTGGACAGGATTACAAACCACTGTGAGGGCCTCTTCAAAATGGTTCGGTGTTCAAATAAATTTGCTTCAACACGATTTTCCTTTAGAAAGAGCTATCATTTCTTATTACTAAAACTTTTTGCCGATATTTCTAACATTGCATTGAAACTTAATTCTTTTTTCTTTTTCAACTTTTCAAACTCTATCACAATCTATTGGATAGCTAAAAGTCTGCAAATACACTACAATTTACACATCCCGCTTCGGGCTGACAGCGTAGTACTAATGCTGTCCATTACGAGCACGGTGCTGATTTCGACCCCAGATCGGATTAACCAAGCTTCTCATTCCTCCTGTGTTGGAAAATTAGTACCGGTCCTGTCTGGGATCGCTCCCTGCAATCCAAATGGGAACGCTGCAACCCTGCTATGCCGGGAGTCCAGTGAGAAGCGACTGGACCAACGCTCACCGACATCAACGGATTGAGAAGGCGACAAACTTCAAGCAACAGCCGAACGCATGAACGGAAAGTCCGAAGACTTTCGTGGACGATGGATTCCAGGAAAAAAATCGAATGTGGGAAGTTGAAAGATCTGCGCAGTTCATGTGAAGACAGATCGTGTACAATAGAACTGAACATTAAACTTTTTTTTGTTTACAATTTACTATTCTTACCTGTAGTCAACAATTTTTACCTGAGGTTTTTTTTTCATTTACATGCATCGTTTTGTTCAAACTTCTATTTCGTGACAAAAATATATACTTTTTATATTAGGCATTGAAACTTCCTAATCTAGTAATATTTAGCGGTGTTCACCTCATTAACATCCGACATACAACGTCTCCATGTTCCCGCCCCATTAGTACCTCTCTCTTCAAATAAATAAGAAGCATTCCATCGCAGTTCTCCACTGAGAGTGCTGCGATTGCAGTTGGCTGTGGTCGGAAACCTGTTAGGATACTCGGAAATTAATGTCCGACTTGCAACTTCATTTTCCTTACATACATTCCACATCAATCCTTTTTCGAATGCCATACTATTATACAAAACTGAAAGCTCATTTTATGCAATTTTGCCCCTCATAATTGAATTCCGTATAATTGGACCTCTATGTTGATCGGTGACGATTGTCTCAATGCTTGGACAGAGGCGAAGCTTTGCAGCATATCCCAAAGCCGAAATCGCAAGAAAAGCTCACATTGACCGTTTGATGATCTGCCGCTGGTCCAGTCTATCATAGCTTCATGAATGTTGGCGAACCGATTACGACGGCGCGGTACGTCCAGCAAACTGACAAAGTGAACCTGGAACCCCCTTTGCCTAGCATTGGTTAACAGAAAGACACCAATCCTTTTCCACGATAATGCTCAGCCACATCTGGCATTAGTGACGCTGCCAAGATTGAACTAACTGGGCTACGAAACTGCTTCATCCACCTACTCTCGCGAACACTCTCCTACCGATTACCATTTCTTCGAGCATCTCAGTGACTTTGAGAGGAATGCACCAGCAACCAGTTCGAGGCAGAAACTGCTTCCAAGGTTTTCATCGTCTCCAGAAGTCTAGAATTTTACGGTACTGGTACAAATTAACCTATCTAACCTTGGAAAAAATATGTAGAGCCCAACGGTTTTTATTCCGATTGGTAAAGTTTGTTCTGGACTGTGATACACCACTTTCAAGATAAAGCTTGAAGTCCAACATCAATTTCGGGAGGACGTAATAGATTGTACCCCTTCAGCGAAAGGTGCTGTAGCATTCTCTTCATCTGTGATGGCCGTATCCTTGTAGGTATACCAATACCTTCACCGGCAGCAAAAGTTACAGCAGTGCTACCAACAAACTCGTCCCAGAATCAGTTTTTGTACATTAAAAAGTATCTAAAATAACTTTTCTCGATCGATCGCCAATACAACACATATGCAGTGAGGAAGTTAAAGAGTGAGAAGTAAGGCAGAGAAAGTATGACTCAGAAAAGAGGCCGCAAACAATGAATTGTAGTCAACGCACAGCGTCCATTTCCCTCACAATGCGTACCGTGTTAGTGCTCATGCACGCTCGCCGGGAATGTTTACGAGTGTAAGGAGACCATAACCACTATTCATTTTCTATCAGTGTGCTGTTCGTTTCTCTTCAATATAGTGAACTTCTATAAAATTACCATAATTTCTTCTTTATCAAGAGTTATCATTTTAAACGGACATCTCTTGCACGAATTAAGTGCCATTTTGAAAATGGCTGTGGTTTCTCAACGGTGTCCTGTCGACTACATCACATACTATAATACACCGGTACAGTGCTCACGAAAGCTCTCGTAAACCCAGTCAAAGTGCGGTACTATGCATTTTACTAAAAAGTTTACGCCATGCTAGCGAGCATTTCTGCTCGTTCTAGTATGAAATCGATTCACAATTCTTCAATAATAAACCGACAAATTAAGCCTTAGCTTGTTTTGCGATTGCTAACACATTTGATTGGGGATTCCTCGTTTGTTTAACGCTGGGCCTATTGTACAACGCTTGCACATATTCTTTCCGATCGTTCTATAAAGAAACAATGTTTTTGGCACTCCATCCATATTCAACCCAGTTTCACCAGTATTACAAAAGAAAACCAACCGCAGCGCAACATCCGCTTGACCTGAAATGCAAGATTTTCAGCACGCCCCAACTGAGGACTGGTGAAAGGGATTGGTTAGCACACATTGGGTTTTATGGAAGTTAATGTCGTTTTTAATTTTTAAATTTAAATGAAGATATTTCCGCTTGTAGTGAACTTTATCGATGTAGAACGATTAGAATCCGCACATTTTTCCCAGTGCACGTTCATTTACTCCTTATTTTAAACATCCTCAATTTGATTGAAGTGTTTTAAAATTGTTTTGCAAATGCCTCCATCAAAATCCTCGCTATCCCGAAATCTCTGGAAACGTTCTACATGGATCTCTCTCAGTTGGAACTACTAGTGATCATCGTCGATGAGGGGAAGTAGTCTCAGACCCTTCAGATCTTCAAGGCTCTCATCTTCTTCACGGAACATTCGACTCCATCGTTACAATCTATTCTCGTGGGCATTCCTTAGCCAGATGCGACATCGAGGTTCTCTGCTGTTTTCGCTACTTTGCGGTCATATTTGAATTCATGCTAAAAGTTGCTTGGTTTTGATGTTTTCCAAGTTTACTTCAATAGTCTAAAAGTAACGCGGGTCTGTTTAAGAACAAAAACATGGCCACAGAAATGTATGGCGAATTCTGCATTTTTTAGTCTTGCATTGTATTAACATATAGGCGTGAAACTTCACACAGGTGGTCCTAAGAAACAGATTCAACGTTTACTTCCGGTTAACCCATTGCTCTTCGAATCTGTTCATGCACTTCTGGGTATATTCGAAGCATTTGAAAATTTAACCTACTCATTTTTCTCTGAAGTAACCGAGTGAAGGCTCTGAAAGTATATATGGCAAACAAGATGGATTTCTTGTTCCATCATTTAATGGTAGCTGTAACTTTCAAAAAGACTCACAAGAAATATGAGTAACTCTCGGCCACCAATGCGGAACATCTTGCGAGAAAAATGGTCGTCTTCTCAACAACAAAAACTTCTTTAACAACTCTCTCTTGAAAATATCGAAATCGCTTAACACGATATAACCGGTGTACAACCTGATTATATTGAGCCAATCAAACGTAATAAAGATAAGAACGTGGATTATTTACTTGTACACTTTACAACCCGCCTTCACTGGTGGTGCGGGCTCGAGCACAACTTCCATCCGTTTCTCTCGCGCAGTTGTCGTCCATGGTGGTGGTCTGCTCCAAACATGGTGACTTTGGCGGGGTCCATTTTTAATTCCTAAAGAAGTTTCCATCTACAAATGCTTGGACATTCTCTTGGAGTCCAATCCGTTTTTTTTCGCACATCTGCGAAAGTTTCCTTATTATAAGACCAGCCCATTTGTGTTTCGCTATGGCCGTATATTCTCGTATATTCCGAAGGTGGGAAAAGCTATCGAAAATCTAAGCTGCGCATTCCTAGACGCTGTGAGTAGCGGTCAAACTTCAGAAGCATCATTCAAGCGTTCTGCGGATGGTTTGCCAGATTTCTTGGCGTGGCTGAAGTACAGCCCACGTTTTTACTGCATAACAGAGCGCTCAGCGAGCTTTTTAATCGAAAGCGTGAGCGCCGAGTTTTGGGTCTGCTATTTGGTCGGTGGCTTCGTGGCTTGAGTGCCACCGCTCTCCTTCTTGCGCCTAATTCCTCCTTCATGTTTTCCAGTTCATTGAACGTCTTAGGTACCCGTACGAGGTGGTCTGTGTAATCAAAAAATTATTTACTGCAATTTCGCCTTAGTACCATGGGTTCTCCGTGAAGTGAGTCTTGCTCCGTTCTTAGTCCGCTCTTTTTTCCCCATTTCCGTTGAGTTCTCTGAGTATCGTTTCTGCTTTGCTCCTCGAAAAGATGACAATATCATCCTCGAAGAGAAAGTTTGCTAAGGATTTCCCATCAACACGTACTGCTATCGCTTTGTCGGACCCCTGTTCTTTTGCGATGGCAACGGGTCATTAGAAACGCTGTAATTTTGTGATACAGTTCCGATAACAGTCAGTTCGTGTTCGTATATAGGACAGGTCTGCTCATTGGTCGACGGGCGCTCATAAGATTGCATTCGTTTCGACGATATTAAACGTTTTCTCGCCGTAGGCAAAGCTAAAGACAAGCGAGAAATTCCCGAATTTGTTCCTGAAAGAATATGACTCGTGAGACTACTTGGATGAGTTCCGTATAGCAGAATCCGTGTCAGAATCTTGCTTACTCAACTGGATGTGTCTCATCCGAGGTCTTCGATATGAGCAAAAGGATAATTGTGGAGGCGAAGAGAATGGTATAGAAATGCTCCGTTACCAACTCCATATCATGACGGGATGTAGTGATGTGATCCCATCTCTATTAATCAATGTCGATTGCAGAACACCATAGGCTCAAAGATCCCGTCGGCTCTTGCTCAGATTAGATCGTTTCTGAGCTGCTTTCAACAACTTTTTCTGGATATACGGACGCTAAATACTCCCAATCTTAACTCTTTTATTTACTGCCTTTTTCTTCTTAATGGCAGGGTATGTTGTGAAATATAACTCGTATGAAGTGCTGAGATACCTGCAAAACTCCGGACCACAGGTGT